AAACAAAAAAAGCCAGAAAAGCAAGAAAGCCATGGATTAATGACAGTGCGTTGAAATTGATAAAGCAAAAAGATGCTCTTTTTAAACAGTTCTTAAGGACAAGAGACGCAGTAGTTTTAGCCGCGTTTAAAAAAACTCCGGATTAAAGTTAATGGGTTCCTAAGGGCAGCAAAAACACAGTACTTCGAGAAATTGTTCCCTGCCGAAACGGTAATGCGAACCGATGTCGCATGGAGAAAGCTAAATAGTTTACTGCATGGAAACCAACAGGCAGATAATCTAGAGGAATTAACAGCAAACAGTGAGCTCATTTCAGGCACGGCCTTAGCTGACGCTTTTAACAACTATTTTGTGTCACTTGTAAATAGCTCCTATGATCCCCAATGCATAAAATATTTAAAACCCAAAATCGTTCGCAGTGCATTCCTAAACCCGACAGACACTCAAGAGATACAAAGCATGTTTCGCAGTATTCGGAATAGTAAAAGCTGCGATATCGATGACCTGAAGATTCGCCCAGCAAAGCATGTACTAGATCTAATCGGTCCTGTCTTGGAGCACGTGTACAATCTTTCACTGGCGAACGGCACATTTCCAAGACGCATGCAAATCGCGAAGGTAACAGCACTTTTCAAATCTGCCGACAAAAACAAGTTCTCGAACTATAGACCAATATAAATTCTGCCTATTTTTTCTAAATGTCTCGAGAAGCTGATAAATGTAAGAATAACCTCATTCTGTAACAAGCACAATCTTCTTACAGATTTTCAATTTGGATTTAGAAAAGGTTGCTCAACTAAATTAGCACTATTGACCCAAAAAGAAATAATTCTGCAGGGCTTTGAGGAAAATTTGGTTACCCTTGGCATATTCATTGATTTTTCAAAGGCCTTCGATACCATCAATCACAACACTTTACTAACAAAACTTGATATTTACGGCTTTAGAGGAATATTTCTGAAATTAATTAGAAGTTATCTGCAGTATAGGTATCAAACTGTTGTTATAGGCAATCACTATTCAAGAAATTTACCGATACGTGCTGGGGTCCCGCAAGGGAGCATACTTGGACCACTATTGTTTAACATTTATATAAATGATTTAACGAATATTAAGACTACGGCGCGATTTGTTATCTATGCGGACGACACTAGTTTATTTATCACTTCTAGAAACGTTGCCGAACTCATCAGCACTGCTAATGATACTCTAGAACAAATAAACAAATGGAGTTTATCAAATTCGCTAACTATTATAGTTGCCAAAACAAAAGGCGTGCTTTTTCAACCAAAGAATAAAAAACAAGTAGTCCATGGATGTCTCCAGACAGGAACTTCCGGGATAGAAGTAGTACGAAGCGTGGAAGCTTGGGCAAGTTGGTAGGACATAACTGAATTCAGGAACAGCGCAACCTACAAGTAGTTACTTCGTAACTACGGAAGCGAATAAACAAGCACAGAAAAGAGCGCTGACTTTCAAGTCAGCGCTCTTTTCTGTCCTTGTTTATTCGCTTCCGTAGTTACGAAGTAACTACTTGTAGGTTGCGCTGTTCCTGAATTCAGAAGTAGTACCTTCAGTCAAAAGTTTAGGCGTCATTTTTCAGGAAAACATGTTATGGAATGAACATGTCAACACTATTGCCAATAAGCTTGCTCGAGTCACAGGTATACTAGTAAGATTACGCCTCTTGCTGCCATTGAAAGTGAAGCTCTTACTTTATAATTCTCTTTTTCTACCACATATCAATTATTGTCATCTCGTATGGGGCAACACAACCAGCTCAAACATCAACATTTTATTCCTTTTGCAAAAGAAAGCCGTTCGAACGATTTTAAATGCTCCATTCGATGCACACACGGACCCTATTTTTGACCAGTTAAATATCATACCATTAAAGGCAGTGTACAACACAATTTTGCAAAAACGGTTTTTAAAAGAAAGAAAGAATAGCATGGGTTTTCTAGAGCAATTGTCAAGGCTCACATTAAATTCAAGCACGTTCAATACACGTCACAAAGAAACCTGGCATGTTCCACATTGTAGAACAAATTATGGAAAACAAATGCTACGTCATGCCTTACCATCTTTGCTAAACTCTCTTCATTAACTGCCATATTTCCCCTCCCAAAGGATCTGGTTGTGCCGATCATACATCTCATTCGCTATTGTGTTTTAAATGAACATGCATTTTATGTTAAAAGTACAAGGCGAAGCGTTTTTGAACTTTTGTATATTCATTAGTGAATACTTCTTATGCTCGTATGTTTACTATGTATTTTTGTGTATTTTTGGGTTGAAGGTGTATAGCGATGCGTTTCAAACTTTGTATATAAATTTGTTCATTGTTTTCGGATGCAAGTGTTTTAAATTATCTCTATTTCTTACTGTGCGTGTGTGTACATGAATCTGTTCTTGCATTGCATTTTTGATCTTGCTGCCAACTGTTTGTTGCGAAAGAAAAGGGGCACAGACCTCGTCAAGCCGTAATGTGGCTTTTTGTCTGTGTCCCTGTTATCTGTACAATGTATAGATGCGAAATAAAGTTCAAATATTCCACTGCATACCACTCCATCCTGCAATGTTCGTCAGTAGGAAACCACTTTTTAGTCATAAATCATCGTTAGCATTTTAAAAGAAATTCTTACTTTTCATATCATATACCCAGGCATTCCGTAGCACGACCTCTCCAGAGAGGTCTCGGCTGCGGTGGCTACACTCAACAAAGCACATGCCTCACGTCCCTTGGACGCAAGGGTGTGAACGAGTGAGGCACTTGTGCTAATGCCATACATCTCTACCATCGTTTTTATTACAACAAAGTTTTGTCATCCATTACCACCACACACGTTTCATGGCATGGTCATGATTTTATTACTTTTATGTTTTTACCCGCCTTTGCGCAAGGAATTTTACGGCCCTTATACAGCCGCTTATCACAATCCATATCTCATTGTCCATATCTCTAGTAAGATGAACTTGCGCTCTTTGGCCATGAAATGGCCCTTGTGCCACAAAAGATCAAACATCATCATAATTGAACCACCGGGTGCGCTCTCGAATGATCTCGCAAAGTAACTGTGGGATGCACGTGTTTATAACCACAGCGACCCGACACTTTCATCTTTGCCCGCTGAGTTTCCCTAATGTCGCCCGCCAGAGACCCACTGGTTCCCAATGGTCCCTTCACGTTGACATTCTGGACTTCCTACACAGACACCTTATGGATTGTTATTTATGTAGATAGTATCTGTAGTGTCATCATAACATCATCATTTCTTGATCACCGCGCCATGCCATTCACGCAGCTGATCCTAGCTCGAGGACAGAATGAGCTAATGCACCTGGCGTGTCGGACGCTGGCAGCGGCCGCGGCTCCGCTTCAAGCCTGAAATGAAGTGGTGAAATTGGCACGGCCCCATCGGTCGCCTTTGACGTCAGTCTCACATCTTTGCTCTCGCTCGATAAATACCTGTTGTTCTCTTTCCTTTTCACATACCTTCAAATCGCGCAAAGCGCTAGGGAAGGGAACCCTGTGGAGCCATCATCATAATCTTCTTGACCAGCGAGCCTCTCGCGCAGCTGAGGCTAGCTCGAGCTGCGCGAGAAGAGAACGAATACACGCACCTGGCATGCCGGATGCTGGCAGCCGCCGCGGCTCCGCTTCAAGCCTGGAATGAAGTGGCAAGATCGGCATGGACCCCGTCGGCCACCTTCGACGTCGTCTCACGTCTCTCTACTCCCGCTCGCTACACCCTCAAACCCCATGAAAATGCCTTCTTGCAGTCTCTTGATATCTTTAAGGTTCTTTTTTTGTGTGTAGGGGGGGGGGGAGGTGTTGCGCATCGCCCCGTAGGGACTTCAGGGCCGCGTCAAGGTCACCTAAACGCGACGAAGGAACCTTGTGCCGGTCAGCCTTCTTACCCGAGTCTTGGAACGTGGTCACGTGCACATCAGATCGAGCTTAGTTTTGAGACTTGGGCAAGATCGACTGACCGACGTCGGGTTCTACCCTGCACGTTTAAGGTGACACTGACGCCACCCTTCTCAAGTCTTTACGAGGCAATGCGCACCTCCCCTCCATCCAGTGTGAAGACCAGCATGACGGATGGGAATCTGTCATGTATTCAGCCCCCAATAAGTTGGGCAGGATTTTCAAGCCCATCAACGGAGAACGAGGGAAGGCTGCATCATGCCAAAAAGCATGCATGACTGTAAAATGCGCTGCGAGAGTGGTGTTTGAGGTTCCCCTGAACTGTGGTCAAACATTAGCCGAATGGGGAGGTGCTTCAACACGCGACTCAGAGAACACTTCAATAATTAACAAGCAGGGAAGCAACATAGTCGTACATTGTGGAAAGTGTGAATGCTCTCCGGACCTTTCTTCGTGCAAGGTGCTTGCTAGTTAAGCCAAGAATGCACACGGCTTATTGACTCTCGCGCGATATCAGTAAAGCAGACGTGCGCGTCAGCACAGCCGTTATTTACGAGCACGAAAGAACCCAGTTTCTTAGACAAAGCTCCTTGAGTTCACATGTACCTGGTTGCCTTTATTTCAACGAATTGACCGTAGGGAGGAGTATGGTTTATCTGCTTTAAAACTTGTCGGTTTACATTTTTCATGACGATGCGATCTGTGCACATGCTAGGCTTCCTTACCTATATATTGCCTTGCCATAATAAAAATTGCTAGCAGTGCATCGTGTGCCGTTCTTTCCTGTCCCCATCTTTCGAGCTTTCATTTTTCCTTTCATTTGGCGTCAGAGTTCTCTCTCTTGAAAATTCATTCCTACTACTTTCCAGAAAGAACCGGTGTGTAACATATCCCAGCTGAAATGAGGCTGCCTCAGTAGACCACTTCATGTCGAACTTGGCAGTGGCATAACCTTCTGCGTCACTTTGGGGCCCAAGCTTTCAAAAGCCCCGATTCGGAAACTGCCTAATGACATTGTGTGCAGGTTGTTCAAGATTTTTTCAATACTTGCTTAAAACTGATGATCATATCTGCTTGTCATCACATCTTTATTCTGCAGAAACAGGGAAAACAATCCATCACGTGCCAGCGCAATGATTTGAGACAAGCACGGCACCCATACAAGGTTATGACAAGTGCATTTCAATACACAACCTAGTGTGGACATGAATGCATTTTTTCTTGCTTTGAGCAATGCTTCCGCTAAATTTTTACGTGAGGTGGCAGCAACGTAAAAACAATGCAAGACACGATATTTACTTTATTTACAAATGTTTCCTACAGATATAAAACTGTAGGGATAATTGCTGTGCAAGAATGATGCACCACTTGTGTATATATTTTTGCAACAAAAAGCTCCAGCAGCATGGCACCAGCCAGAACCTACTCTATAAAAGCACATTGGCACACACACACACACTGAACACGTTAAAAAATAGAGCCTCTTGTGGAATGCATGCACAGAGTTCAATGGACGGATGGGGCAGTGAGGCAAAGTTTTTTTGGAATCTCTCGTTCAATATGTTTCGATGAAAAAATAAAATCACTTTGCTTTTTCACCTCGATGCAGTTGTAGTCCGACAAGCTCAGGAGAATAAAGGCAGATTGTAAATGTAATTTTGAGCTGCCATAAAGACAAAGATGGATAGACATGACACAATCAGGCTGAGATTTAAATTAAAAATCACAGAGTAGATTATACCAGCAGGATGAAGTGCACACCAAAGTGTGTACGGATGCCCTCAGAACATGTCACGTGCCACACTACTTGGGCATTTCTGTGTCAAGTAAAACACCACATTGGAATGTAATCTGCAGTAGAGAAGACTGTTGGGCTAGTTGGCCCTGCATTTAAAAAAAAGTAAAATTAGCACAATTGGATGCAAACACAAACATGTGAAAAACTAGGACAGGTGCTGCAGAGAAATCTTTATCGTGAAAAACTTGCAGACAGACTTTCTGTCGTGCACATGCCATGGCCCATCATGAAAACGTCTCAGAAAATATCATGATGGAAGCACAGATTTTATGCAGAGCCCTCAGTCTGCATAAAATCGTATTCCGCAGAATGCAGGCCTATAGAAAGTGGCTGACAGATTGTCATTCTTTTTTAAATCGTTGTTTCCAAGATGTGTCATGCTGCACGCACGACGGAGTGAATATAATTCGCTGGCATTTTTCACAATTAAGAGTTGTCAGTAGTGACTGACCTGGCCTGTCTAATCTTCGTCTCGGTCTTCATTCGTCGCAATTTCATTTTATTAAGAAAGGAATGTAATGTGCTATGTCCCGAAGTACAAGACTTGTTACTAGGGTGCAGAAATAGCAAACAAACTATACCTACAAAAATAGGTTCTAGTTGGAATACAAGAATGGTAGCTAAGGTGCTGAAGGACACAATCTTAATAGTACGTCTCAGGGCATATACCAATGTAATGTTACACAGGAATTCTATCTTCATCACATCTGCCCATAACTGTTTCGATAGACTGAGTCCAGACAAAGAAATTGCGTACAGCAGGCCATCGCAGCTGCATATTGATGAATGTATCTAACATTCGGGATGCTTCTCTGATGAGAGACAACTTGGGCCAACTACTCTCACGCCTTCAACTTTTTTTTTTGTTTTTTTTTATAGCTAACTGCAGTGTTTGTCATCATGACTCTTGTGCATGCCTGTTTAGGCAAAGCCCGAACAATGGACAAGTTTATTGCTACACCATGGCAACTTTTTGTGAACACTATGCACAGTGTAGATTCTTTCGGAGCACTAAGCATAACATTGCCTTAGTAAGCTTGGCTTATGTGTCAGCACGTACCACGTAAAAATAACTGATTTCGGAAACAATGAACCTTCAAAGATAACAATTCAATGTACAATGTGGCGCAGAGCTTCCAACTTTCGCCAACAATTCCTTATAAAAGTAAGCACAGTGGTGTGTTGGTGCTTGTAAGAGATGCACAGATGAAAAAATTGAACTGTGAAAAAAATACGATTAGCTCCCTTCACATACACAATGCATGATATGTCAATGAGATAAAAACAGAATAAAACAATGTTACATCATGTAAAGTATCTGACCCACAAAAAGATATTTTTTTACATATAATTTCATCTTCATAAAGTCCTATCCTAAAGCAAGATGAACATCTTTATATCACTTTTTTTTAGCATTGTGATCCCTCCTTTTGGAATGATGCAAGTCTCAAGTCATAAAATGATGATCAGAGCTTTCTAATTTTGAAATATGTCACATTAATAATTACTGCATTCCTTACACTGGTTAAGGTGACACAGAGAACTCATACACCATGTATGTACTAGTGTTAAAAACCTTCTGCAAGGTTTTCCAGCTCTCAAACATCGCCTTTCTTTACTGTATTCCTATAATTTGGAAATTTGGGGCTTCAAGAGCAAGAAGCTATGCCCCCATTCAGAGCCTACTTGATCAGGATTCACCTAGTTTGCTGAGCTATTAAAATGCTGTGAAAATCTATACAAGTAACAATAATAAATATGCACTCAAAATTTTCTCGTTTCTTTATCATGCCCGAACCAAGATATAGGATCCAAAAATGAATTCTAGAAATTCACTCGAGTGCAAGTTTACATTGAAGCAAGTCCTTTATGGTTTTCACAACCTTAGCAGCTTCACTCAATATTTCAAGCTATTTGAGAGGTTTTAAGATTTCATAATACTAAACATTGTACATTGCTATGAATCCTTTGAGCATTCCTGAGCTGTTACAATGATTACAGACAGAAAACTTTATTTCCTAGCTAAACAGATGGCTCGATTTCCCAATACATAGTTAAGCATCACTACAACTTAAGCCATCTTAAGCTAGGCCTCTATAGTCTTTTGGAAAATTGTGATACCTACACTGATCCCCTCGTAAGGCTTAATTTGATCATTGTCAGCAGCTGTAAGTAGGCTAAGATGAACCTATGCTGCTAAATGATTTCATCTACCCATGCAGCCGCTGTGTTATATCATTGAAAAGAAGCAGAGTAGGGAACCCTGCACTGAAATGAAAAATCAAGGAATTCAGTTTCGGAATCACCAGTCCGTTTCAGCAGCAGATACAAGACACAGATGCCATGAAGCTGACCAGCCAAGTGTCCTTGTTGACTGACACAACAGAGGTCGGCAGAAGGTTGCTGCCAGACGCTGTTCCCTTTCGACTCACACAAATGTATGTGAGCAAAATCACAAGATGCCCCGATGCTTTCAGGCACGAGTCTGGGGCGGCACGCCCATGGTGTGTGTTGGATTCATGCCAAAGGCTTGTTGCTGGTGCTCTTGTTCATTCAGTTTGCGTGCCATGCGTCGACTGTCCACAGCGAACAGCACAGCTGCAACATAGGTGCAGAAGGCCCCTATCACACCCAAGGCGAAGGACCAGGACAAAAAGTTGTGGTCAGGGTCCGGCATCCAATCACGGCCGTCACCTCGGGCGCCAAATGTTATGACTGCGATTGTGTTGCACACCGCTGCAATACAGAAAAGTCATGAAATTAGTGATCAGCATTCAGGTGGAGAAGAGCTGCAGCGTGCGGCTCTCCTAAACAGATCTTCCAGCACACTAAAGTGAAGAATGACTTTGTTCTATGTGTTCGAAACAAACACATGATATAAACAATAATAGAACACAAAACAGATGCTACAATCATGTCCTGGCAAGTAGCTTGCATATTGGACATTGAGAGTTGACAGTATACGAGAAGACTCATGCTGCGCCTTTTCTGTCTAGCAGCGTCAGTGATGTGTTCGGCTGAAACGACCTTGGCACAGCTTCTGGAGCAGTTAATGCCCTAATTCATAACAGCAAACCAGCCTTTCGAAGCAAATATCAACAAACTTTTGCCATCGCCCTCATGCCCTGTGCATATGTGTGTGCATATTATATATATATATATATATATATATATATATATATATATATATATATATATATATACACCGAAGAAGTTTTTCCAATGGGCCAAACGTACCTGGGAAAAGAAGAAACACAACTTAGCGGTTGTTTTAATTTTATTACCAACGATTTCGACCGGTGGTCCGGTCGAAACCATTGGTAATAAAATTAAAATTGCCGCTAAGTTGTGTTTTTTTCTCTTTCTCTTTATATATATATATATATATATATATATATATATATATATATATATATATATAATGTGTGTGTGCTGTGTGTGTGAGTGTGTGTGTGTGAGTGTGTGTGTGTGTGTGTGTGTGTGTGTGTGTGACGCATGAAGCGATGGTTGGTAGAGGTAGAAGAAAAATGACAGTAGAATAAACATGGCGTATGAGCCAGGCCATGTCGCCCTTTCATCATAGCGTCACATATATATTATATGTATGTGTGTATATATATATATGTTGTCACGTTTCTTAAGGGGGGACGCGGCACTTCGGGACCGAAAATCAGCCAAAAAATCGAGTTTTCGCGGACCTTCTTTTCACGTTCCCGACATCATTGCGCACCTATTTACAAAATTTCATAGCCGAATACCATCAACTTTTATCGTTATTCAACTTTAAAAAACCGAAAACGGGCGTCCTGCCCTTTAAATTGAGGGCGAATAGCGCAGGTTTCGGCTCTACGATACGCGGGAACTACGCGCTCGATCGGCGCCATTTTGGTCTTGTTTGAAAGAACGCGTTTTCAGCTGTTTTTTTTATTCAGTAAGCAACATTGAGCGTTTCCCCGGCTCGAAATACGGGGCCTCAAAGACGAAGAGCCGCGCTCACTGCCATTGGCTAAACGGCGCACGTGACTGAAATGGCGCTTTCCGGTTGGCTGGAAGCCCGCGGCTTGCGCCTGCATACGCGACCCGACGCCATTTTGAAAGGGTTACCGCTGTGACGCCTCGAAATCGGCAGAGCACTCTGAAGCTTCTGATCGTATCGCCATGCCTGGAAACGCAAAAAAGTATCGGACCGTGCACGCATTTGGTCGCAGGAAACGCAAAGGTCGTGGGAGAAAGTCTACGAAGTCATCAGAGCCCTTGGTTGACTCCGACGAACGATGTATCGACGCTCCGCGGCCGTTCAGCGATGGTGCGACCGAGCGCGTTGCCTCCGACGACGATGACGGTGAAGCGAACTCCGGACGACTACGAATCGACGCCAAGGTGGTGACAAACGCCGAAGTTGAAGAAAATCATGCCCGGGAGAAAGCGGCGCTCGACCGGCTTTCATCGGCGCCAGCAACTGCACGGAAAATTGACTTTTTCACCGCGAGTTGTAGCGAGGCAACCGCACAGGACTCGGACCACGCTGCTCCTTATCTGCTTATGCATCTAGATATCCTAAACGCGATAATGGGTGCCTTGTGTTGCAAAGCCTGCCACGGACCGGCTACGATCGTCAGAGGGGATCGGGACTACGGACTTGCCGTGAAAGTGCTAGTGCAGTGTGAAAGGTGCGGCGAGATCACGAATGAATGGACTTCGCCCCGCGCGAACGGCACGAAAACGTGCAATCTGTTTGAAGTAAATCTTCTTGCTTCGAGGGCGATGGTGGCTACCGGCAACGGCCAAACGAAAATGAACGATATTTTCGCAACAATGGGCATCTCACACCGCGGTATGCACCACAAGACGTTTCAGCGGCATTTGAAGAACACGCTGGCACCCGCTGCAACGCGAGCGGCTGAGTCCGCTATGAGCAAATGTGCGGAAAAGGTTAGAACAATATATGATGACTTGTGCTTCGGCCACCGGGGCAATATTGCCGTTAGCTACGACGGCACGTGGAAGACGCGAGGCCATTCTTCCCACATCGGCGTGGGCACAGTTATCGAATTATTTAGTGGCTACGTGTTGGACTATGTCGTTCTTTCCAACTTTTGCCTAGGCTGCGAGGTGGGCCCAAAGCCTAGTAGTGAGGGCTATCAAGAATGGAAGGCTAACCACAAATGCCAAAAAAATACGAACAGCAAAGCGGGGCAAATGGAAGTGGAGGCGGCTCTAATTCTATTTCAGAGGTCGCTTGAACGCCATGGCCTGCGCTACACAACTATGCTGTCTGATGGAGACTCTAGGACATTTTGCGCCATACAAGACGCCAAGGTGTATGGTTACATTGACGTGCAGAAGGAAGACTGTATTAATCATGTACAGAAACGGATGGGCACCGCATTGAGAAACCTGGTGCAGAAACAAAAGTGCGATGGGAAAAGAGGCCTTGGTGGGAAAGGCAGGCTCACAGGTGAGCTGATCACCAGGCTGAGCAAATATTATGGCCGGGCTCTGAAATCCCATGAAGGTGACGTGGGCGAGATGCAAAAGGCTGTGATGGCCACATACCGCCACGTCACCTCCACTGATGAATGCTCGGACCACAGTCTGTGCCCAGCTGGTGAAACATCATGGTGTCGGCACAATGCCGCAAAAGCAAAGGGTGAGCCCGACCCCAGGCATGCCTACAATCTACCGAAAGACGTGGCAGAGGCATTACTACCGGTTTATACCCGGCTTTCGGAAAGAGCCCTGCTTCAGAGGTGCGAACGCGGCAAAACGCAGAACTCCAACGAGAGCCTACATTCGGTAATCTGGAGTTTGGCCCCCAAGGAGCACCATGCGTCCCTGTTCGCTGTTGAAGCAGCTGTTGCAGAAGCAGTGCTGCGCTTCAACACGGGCAATTTGAATTCTGCAATGGCAATCTTAGGTGAAATGGACATGAATGCGACAAGTACTGGTGCCAGGAGAGCGAGAGAAAAAGACCACCGTCGCAGCATTGTCTCCAACAAGAAAAGAACAGCCTCATTGGAACTCCGGAAGCTAGTGAAGAGGAGGCATGAGCACAGAATGCATTCAGACTATGCTTCTGGTGCGTTTTGAGGTTGTCTTGTTGCATCTTCTGCAATAAAAATGTGTGCCCACGTTTTTTCTCGATTTCTCAAAACGACAATGTTCATGTGCTTCCCATTATGCCGGAGCAATATCTCTTGTTCTATCTGGGTTATCATTACGATTTCTTTTTTGTTTCGAAGATAAATGCAGGGGATGTGTCATAAAGTAAGTTTTATTGTAATAATTTTTGAAGAAAATTCTCTAAATGGATCTTTTGTTTCAAGTGTAGATGGGGAAATTTTTCATGTCATATTCAACATCCCACAACTTTGCTTCGAAATAGCCCAGAACAATGATTTATACTTTATTGCACACTGTGAACATACCGAATTGGTGCTATAGGTTGCACATCAATATCCAAGTTACAGTTAATTAGCTAATTAGGCCTTAATTGAAAAAGTCGCAGTTCATTATATCTTTAAAACTAACTGTCACAGCAAAAAAAGAATTAGATTTTTGAAATCAGCAGTAAAATCTACACAGGCTCTCCAAATTTGACTGAGGTACTCGCAAAAATAAAAGAGTTTTTGGAAGGTGTAGCATCCCCCCTTAAGACAAACTTGGTTTAATGGGTTCGTTGAGTCGATTAGCCAAGCAGCAGCTCAGACAGATCGTCTTTGTCTTCTTTCACTCCTGGATCTCACCCAAGCATATCATGTGGCAATAGTTCCCCCTTTGAAAGCATCGACTCGATGCTCGTAAAGAAAAAAAAAATGAAGGCATGCACACGCAGATACAGAGAACCAAAAGAGGGAGAGTGCCAGTACTCGCAGCGCAAATGAGGAAATTTCGCCAACGCTTGCGCCAAGCACAAAGAGAAAAGCATAAAAACACAGGAGAACACGAACAGCAGCAGCAGCGCAATGTCACGGCATGTCGCAACACGTGAACCACAAGGGCTACTGTGTGAAGCAATGTCACGGCATGTCGCAGCACGTGAACCACAAGGGCTACTGTGTGAAGTAGGGCTTCAGCACAACAACATGCACGGTTTCGGGTCGAATCTGTCGACGAAAAGACGCTGTGCCGTCCGGAAATACCTCGTAGGTAAGATTTGTGACACGTCTAAGAACCTTGTACGGCCCAAAATAACGGCTTAGGAGTTTTTTGGATAAGCCTGGTCGCCGGACAGGGGTCCACACCCACACTTGGACCCCAGGTTGGTAGGTGACGTTTCGAAGGCGAAGGTTGTAACGTCGTGCGTCTTCATCTTGTTGGTGACTGGTGTTTATGCAAGCTAGCTGATGAGCTTCTTCGGCGCATTGAGTATATTGCTCAGCGTCTGGAGCGATTTCATAGCTTTGGTCACACGGAAGCATAGCATCGAGCATGGTTCGCACGTTGCGTCCATAAACGAGTCGGAAAGGAAGAAAACTGTTGTTTCTTGCGTTGCCGTATTTTATGCAAGCGTGATGTATGGAAGAATTTCGTCCCAGGTTTTGTGTTGTACGTCAAGGTACATTGACAGCATGTCCGCTATGGTCTTGTTAAGCCTCTCTGTCAGTCCATTCGATTGCGGGTGATAAAGCCGTCGCTTTTCGATGACTTGTGCAGCTCAATTTAAAAATGTCCTCCATCATTCGTGCTGTAAATGACGTCCCTCTGTCCATAATCACGCATGATGGGGCACCATG